ACAAGATGAGCCTGAGGACTTCTACCCAATAAATAAATGGATTGTGTTGGCTCCTATATGAAAAGTGGATGAGACACACTAGAGAGCAGTTGTTTCTCACTGAACTACTGTATACCTCATTGGATTACTACCACTAGTTATTGCCTTCAGCATAGGAATGGAGTTAATTGGAAAATGTTATGAAAAATTTATTTATGAAGATCTTAGCAGCGATGTGGTGATTTCCAAAATTAAACTGAAGGGAATAAAATACAATGATAAAGCATACACACAATACAATGTGTAGGACTATCACAACAATCATCAACATTTGCATAGATGTGTTTTCCATCATAGACTATTAGACTTCCCTTTATCTTGCATTTCTTTCTGAAACGTCTGTTTCTAAATTCCACATCAATTAGGGCAGATAACGATTGCTCCCAGGTAATTCTAATAAATCGTAAAATGTACAGTTGTACTGCAGAGTATGTTACCTAATTGCTTAAAAACAAGCCATTTAGGCATCTGTACAAACCAGCTGGCTGTTGCATCAAGTCCCCTGATTGGATTCAGTACCATCAACTCCATCAGTCACAGAAATCAATGCCAAGCTATTCTTTTCTACGTTCTTTTGCATTTACAGGTTGATGCACATCAATGAGACATTAAACAGATCCTTGTGTACCTATTGGACACCATTAATGACACTTGCCTTGTCCTCATAATTGTATCATCTCTTTATGGTGACATTGAGTTCTTGTAGGTTGAACACTGTTTTTGGTGCAAAGAGCCTGATGCTACAGAGGGATCCACATGTTGAAATAACCCAGAAACACAATAAGATAAAAGCAATTTTATTTTACATATTGTGTGTATATTCCCAGACTGCACATTTTGTTTATCAGACGTACATCAGTCTCCACAGTATTGTTACTTGTCTCCTCATCATCAACTCAGTAATCCAGCATTATGAAGTTGTTAATGATTTCCATTTTGACGTTGCCTCTTGAGATTAAATGTAGCAGACTAGAAGGTTTTATTTTTCTGATTTCAAGGAACATCTGATACTGTTGTACAGTTGTTTCTGTTTAATTGCAAAACTTGGTCAGAAAGCTTGATGCAATTAAACAGATAGTTTGATTAAACAAACAAGATGGTGAATTGAACAATTTCTGCATTTTATTCCTCAGCAGCTCATAGCAGCAGCTCTAAGAGAAATTGCTCTACAGATTGTGTTTATATAAACCTGAAGTGTTGGGAAATATGTGGAGAAAAGTCTACATATAGCAAAATGCTGTACAATTGAATGTTATGCACTTCAGAAAAAATAAATAGCTCAATAGAAATGAATGTTGCCGCACAGAGAAAGCAATAGACCAACATCACTATGTGGCGTCATTGATTTCCTGCTATTTACTGACTGTTTTTGGTGCAGAGAATATGCAGGCAACTGAGGGATCAAGATTTTGAAATAAACCAGACAGTAAAATAAAGGCAATCTAAACCGTATGCATTCCCAAGATACACATAAGATCTTTTTGCTTGTGTATAGAATAATAAAGTGCTAAAAATGAAATTGCCTAGTTTGGACTCATAATCATTTAATACAGTTTATTGACCTAGCTGTTAAAGCGATAGCATATTATAACAACAACTTGAATTTATACAGTGCCCGTCACATAGACTAGTGTCTCAGTGTGTTTACCTAGACCATACAAATGTTGGATACCAAGCAGGGGGACGAGGGAGTCAAGTAGTTATTGCAAAAAAATGAAGAGAATTATGTTACAAGTATTGACATTTATTAGTAAGGCATATTATATCCTAACATATGTTAAACCAACATGTTGTATGCATGAGCATTGTTAGCAACATTATCATATCCTTCTGACATTTATCTCTCCAGATTTGTATCTGTTAATCCCTCATCACCATATATTTCTTCAAAAACCTACAACAAGCGTGAAAGCACAATTATTACCAATTCAAAAGACACTGCATTTTACCTTACATTTTATAATAAATTGACTATATTATTATGCCAATAGGAATACAAGCAGAATTGCACGTCTAAGCAAAAAAAGAGCTCAATGGAACATTTGCAAAGCATATGATCTCTCGTGTCATTTACTGCCTCATCTTTATGGCTAGAATTAAAAAGGGTGATTAAGAAAAATAAGCAAGATTTACAAAGATGCGCTGGAGAGAGTTAGCACTAGGCCAAACACAAGACTATATAGAGAGAAGTAAAAAAAACGAAGTTTAGGAGAGCCAAGAGAGAATTGAAAAGGGACATAGCAGCAAACCAAAACATGATGCAAAAAAAAATCTATCAATACTATAACATGATAAGATTAGTCAGGGAAACTATTAGGACCCAAAGTGGGTTGAAAAAGAGACTGAACTTAGAAAAGGTGATAGCGAACATATTAAACAACTACTTCCTGTTTTTTTAACAGGGAGGACACTAAAAATCCTGCTTCCCCACCCCTCCTCAACAGTATGGAAACATTGTTTGAGTTCCAGGACTTTGATGAGGCTGAGTGTTTTGATAAGGTCAATTGGTTGAAAGCCAATAATTCTCTAGATTAGATAAAAGTAGAGGGTACTTAGAGAGAATAAACAGGAGATTTGTGCAGCTCTGCCAGACATTATGAGCGAGTCAATCACCACTGGTGAGGTTCCAACAGTTTGGAAGCAAGTAAATGTGGTTCTTACATTCAAGAAGGGTGACAGAACCTCAATAATTGGAAAACTGATGAAGTGAATCATCAAAAGTAATGCTCAACTTTACAGTGCTCAGATCCAGAGAACTGCATACAGGAATTATTGCAGGTCAGTCAGGCACACCCATATCCATAGACCCAGATTCAGGAGTTCAGATTTACACAATGGGCCGTGAATGCTAGAATCTTGTTTGAAGCAGAAAATCAAGACTCTCAAAAATGCTTCTCCAATGATGCCATTTCTAATGCACATCTGACACACACTGCATGATCCACTTTCTCACGCATTTTACATTTTCTTTACTTTTGATTATCATCTATCTGCCTCCCTGCTCAAGCACACGATCTGTTTTTTCAAAGCACTCTGAGACATTCTCCTACATGAAAGGCGCTATATAAGTTTTTATTTTAGATATAACTTTCGTATTTCTTTTATTTTATTTTCCTTTCGCTCAAATGGCTCACTGAGCATACGCCAGCATTGCATTATGGATTTAATCCTTCATTGAAAGAAGTCCACCATAAATCAGTCTCCTACATCAGGGCTGCAGGCAATTTAGAGCAGACAACAAGAGCATGAATGGGTTTGCAGCTCCTTATATCATTGAAAACTCTTGAAGGTGTTGTAACTCCCTCCCTCCCTGTCAGGTGTCCTTAAGTTGTATAAGATGTAAGTAGACTCAAATTTTATTTTCTAAGGGTACTAAATGCAAGCTCAATTTGTGCATCTTGTGTTTACTAAGATGGCTTTATCTAAATCTAAAGCGATAGCACGATAAGGAGAGATAGACTAAAGCTGCTGTTTTTAGCAGAGAGTTAGTGTGGTTTTGCAGCAATAGCAAGATTAGCTCCTGCAGAAAGAAGCCTTTAGCTCAGAAATCTGCTCAATGATTCAATTTAGCAGGCATAAACAATAAGGTTAGGACACCAGCAATAGTTCAAACTAACTATAGCAATGAACAAGGTTGACGGTACACACAGCTTTTTCCCATTCTATATTTTGTTCTTCTGCTTTTAGATTAAAGATGAGCTGAATGTTGAATCATTTGCTTATCTGTGTTTCACCAAATTCAAAACTTTCAATGAGGGCAAGTCTGATCTCTCAAGCCAGCTGTTAATTATTGTTCCTGGATTGCCTACCTCGTTAACTAAATAATTAATTTACTTAACAAAATCATGCAAGCTAATTGCTGGGAAGTCTCGTAGCACACCCTGAAAGACAAACGCTATATGGTCGAGTGTATCTGAATGTAATGTGCAACAAAATGTCATGCAATATAGTGAAATTTACTCTGTCTCAATGCTAAGGCTGGTTTTCCCAAAATCGTATCAAATTCGGATTAAATTTCACATGTTATGGCATTGCTAAAAAAACAATCAGTTTCTAATGACTGCTCAGTTCAATCCATATACACTGATATAGTTTCTTTTAATTCTGTTTTAGATAAGTCCGATCTATCAACACATATGCATCTACAGAGCTATAAAGTACAGTATGTTTTATTCTAATAGACCTTCAATACAACAACGTTTTGACTCATTAAAGGTAAATCAGTGGTGAACGTAAATACAAGAGACTGAATCTTGATTCTCAGTATAGTTTTATTTCACTGATGTATAAATGAAGAATCTTACATATAATTATTGGATGTGGCATTCATTTCTATTTCTTAGTTGTCCCTGGCATATATACACAATATATCCTATTTTTGTTGCAGTAATTTGATTTCTTTTGCTTACCACTGGTGTTGACAATTTGGTCATATTGTATAAGATTTGTGTTTTAAATTTCCAAAGACCTAATTTTTTTATGGTGAGCTGTTTGTATGGTATATAGGACATAAAGGGCATTTTTGACGGAGGACATTAATTATAGTACCCACACAAGCCACTGGGCATTTACTCTTAGGCTGGAAGTGCCTTTGCACTTGAAGAATAAGAACACTTTATCTCCGCTGTTCTTCAGCATTGTACAGTGGAGGTCTTTTCCATGCATTGTATTTTTGGGGGCTGAGTATTTAAAGTAGTTGTATCTGTATTGCATTAAAATACAACAAATGTAAGCTAGATCTGTGTGCTGGGTTTGTACAAAACAATCTATTTTTATTAATTCACCAGTGCTGTATTATTTATAAATCAATCAATCGCTTGGGACTAGAAAAGTTGTTGTATTTTTGTTTTCCAAGGGTTTCTTCCAACAAGTAATTTATTCATAAAGGATCAAGATTATGAAATAAGTGCGATATTATCACTTTCCAACTAAGAATTATGGTCAGTAGTTACTAATGCTGCCCGCGCAAGAGCCCGGTCGACTCGAACCTGAGGGTCCCCCAACCCCCCGACTCCCGCTGGCCGCGTCTGCCCGGCCCCCCGGCCACCCCGACCCCCAGGCCGCCCAAAGCCGCCGCCAGGCCCCCCAAGCCCCGCAAACGACCCACGCCCCGCGTCCCGAAGGACCGGCAGATATTCGGGCCAATCATGGTCTACCAGACCAAGTCGCCAGCACCGGTCGTTTGCCCTGACGTCTGCTCCTGCAGCCTCCAGGCATCAGACAATGGGCTGAACGTGCACTGCCACGAGAGGAGCATCAGCAACATGAGCCAACTGCAGCCCAGACCCTCGCAGCCGAAGAAGCTCTACCTTACGGGCAACTTGCTCCACACTGTGCGGCTCGGCGACCTGGAGACCTACTCGGGCAGCCTCGAACTGCTGCACCTGGGCAACAATCGGATCTCTGCCATCCAGGAAGGTGCCTTTGGCAACCTCACCCACCTGCGCAGACTGTATCTCAACGGCAACCACATCGAAAGGTTGTCGCCGGCGATCTTCGAGGGACTCAAGCGTTTGCAGTATCTGTACTTGGAGTCCAACGTGATCAAGGACATTCTGCGGTCCACCTTTCACTCCCTGGCCAACCTCCACTTGCTGTACCTCAACAACAACCTGCTCAGGTCCTTGCCCATCAGTGTGTTCGCTGGCACAAATCTGACCAGGCTGAACCTGAGGAATAACCACTTCTCTCATCTGCCGGTGAAGGGTGTCCTAGATCAACTGTCTGCTTTCGTTCAGATAGATCTTCAGGAAAACCCTTGGGACTGCTCCTGTAAGATCATCGCTTTGAAGAACTGGATGGAGCAACCCAGTGCCAGCATTGTGGTCAATGAAATAACTTGTGAATCTCCAGCGAGGTTCGCAGGGAAACTCCTGAGACCGCTCAGGAATGAGGACATCTGCCCAGAACATTCTGATATAATAGCTGCCACAATTGTGGCTGTTACATACAGCTCAGATGCTGCGCAGAGCAATAGCCAGTCCCCAAGTCCAGGACCAGCCCAGTCTAGTGCAGTTCCACTCTCGGTTCTTATTTTAGGGTTACTGGTCGTATTTATTTTGTCCGTCTGTTTCGGAGCTGGTCTGTTTGTCTTTGTGCTGAAAAGACGTAAAGGCAGTCAAAGTGCCCACAACAGTGCAGCCAACAACTTAGATCTCAGCTCGTATCAACTTCAGTATGGCTCGTACAATGCTGGTCCAAACGACAAAACAGAAGCACACGTATACAACTACATTTCCCATCCTGTGGGACAAATGTGCAAGAATCCAATCTATATACAGAGAGAAAATGACCAGGTCACATATTTTAGAGACCTACATGAATTAAGTTACAGTGGCCTCGATGTCAAGAAAAGAAATCAACTCAGAAATCCTACTTATACAATAAGCACGGTTGAGTTGTTAGAGAAACAGCCATTGGCTCCAAGGCAGCCTGAATTGCTGTATCAAAACATTGCAGAAAGAGATAAAGAGCTTCCAAGCAGCTTGAATGCTCATTACAGTTTCTGCACTTTACCTAAACGCCAGTTTACTCCGTCGTACGAAGTTAGGCGCCAAAATCAGGACAGATTAAATAAAACAGTTTTATATGGGACGCCGAGAAAACATTTTGGGGAACCATCGAAAATCGAAAACCTTTCCATCCAAGGGAAGCTTCACACAGAACCAGACTACCTCGAAGTGCTGGAGAAACAGACTGCAATCAGTCAGTTGTAAAATATAGCTTAACAACTAAAAGTACAGTATGTTTTATTCTAATAGACCTTCAATACAACAACGTTTTGACTCATTAAAGGTAAATCAGTGGTGAACGTAAATACAAGAGACTGAATCTTGATTCTCAGTATAGTTTTATTTCACTGATGTATAAATGAAGAATCTTACATATAATTATTGGATGTGGCATTCATTTCTATTTCTTAGTTGTCCCTGGCATATATACACAATATATCCTATTTTTGTTGCAGTAATTTGATTTCTTTTGCTTACCACTGGTGTTGACAATTTGGTCATATTGTATAAGATTTGTGTTTTAAATTTCCAAAGACCTAATTTTTTTATGGTGAGCTGTTTGTATGGTATATAGGACATAAAGGGCATTTTTGACGGAGGACATTAATTATAGTACCCACACAAGCCACTGGGCATTTACTCTTAGGCTGGAAGTGCCTTTGCACTTGAAGAATAAGAACACTTTATCTCCGCTGTTCTTCAGCATTGTACAGTGGAGGTCTTTTCCATGCATTGTATTTTTGGGGGCTGAGTATTTAAAGTAGTTGTATCT